TTCATACAGTCTAAATTGTTAAAATTCTTTGATTTAGTGGAATATAAGACCGCTGTGTTTATGTATAAAGCCAGGAACGACTTATTACCTGGTGAAATCCAAAAGTTATTTAATGAAAGGGAAGGAGGATATAATTTAAGGGGTCAGTTGAATCTAAAAGTTCATGCTATACGTACAACCAAAAAAAGATTTTGTATTTCTATAAGTGGGGTCAAGTTATGGAATAATTTAAGTGTGGACATGAAAAACAGTACTAGAATCAAGGAGTTTAAATATAAATATAAATGTATGTGTCATTCAAGATACATGCAAGAATAAGAGATTTAATCAAGAATGCAGGAAGGAAACACTCTGATTTTCTGTGCATTACTTGTCTGGTGAAGAAGAGAATTACCTATGTAGAGATACTGTTTGCAGCCAATGATGCATGAAATTTTTTGTATAAGATGATGTTATGGGGTAGGACTGGATAAGTCTGACTTCTTCCTACTCCATTCAAACATGTACTAGGTATAAACAAACTGATTCTGAATCAGCATTGGTTGGATTTGTATAATTATGTGTGTGTTGATGTCGTTTGTTCTGCATGTTTGAAAGAATAAATCAAATAAAAAATCAAATCAGTGTAAACAGCTGTCTACACTGGCTGGAAACAGTAGAAAGACCACTGAGATTGAACAAAAACAGTAATGTTGTAGGCTGAAAAACTATAGCAATCAGGTAAAAGATACTGTAAGTTATCTGAGGGCTTGTCAGTATGAGCGACCCCTTTCATATTACAGCCATTTGATCCATTGTTAACATAATATTTGTTGCTTCAACTTAAAAAAATATTTTAAATCCCCTTTTGTCACATGACTTAATAGAGCTGATTGATATGGACAACAGATTTTGCCTTATACTGCATCAACGCTGCTTAAAATTAACCCATTTTTGAAAATAAAAACAATTTATATTGGCTGAAATTAACATTTATTACATTTCTAAGAAATGTATAAAGCCAACAGAGTTCAAGAGTATTAATATGCACAACATATGCTAAATGAATTTCACTTTATAGATGTGTTTGAAACTGATTTGCAACTAGAAACGCAGCAGAAATACAGTATAACTGAAGTAAATGTTGCCTTAATTTTAATTCCAGTACTACAACTGAAACAACACCAGTTTATTAAAATGTGCTTTAGCAACATCATGGTAAAGCAAGTAAAGTCAAAATGATATGATGGTATAAAGAATGTGCATTTACAAATGTCATGTGTTTTACATATTAGGACCATAGTTTTATTTACTGAAATTGTGTCGGAAAAAGCATTTTTGAAATGTTTGGTAATCAGTGAGGTAATACTTTTCTTACCTCGTAGAAACTGCTTATTGAACTCCATCCTATCTAACACACACAATAAGTATAAATATAAACATCTTCTAAATAATATATTTTGTCAGTGAAGACCAGACATGACCAGTCCTCAATATTTAAAATTTTTAATTCTGTGGCTCAGTTTAGTTCTTAGTACTAAACATTAATCACCAATTTCAGTGGATGCATTGACCTCAGTAGCAGCTGTAGCAAGTGACGCTGAGGTCCCAGTTGAGGTGCCATCACGTGGTTTGATGTGAGGCCTTAGCATCTCTTCTTTGTTGCGTTCAGGTTTGACCAAGAGGATGTAGCACTTGGGCAGGAAAATGCAGATCAGCAGGCCGAAACTGGAAGCCAGGATGGCAAAAATCTGGACAGCAACCATGAATTTCCCCCGTGTGCTGAGGTAAGCTGGCACAAAGGAGATCCACACAATGAAGAAGACCAGCATGCTGAAGGTCATACTCTTCCCCTCACTGGAAGATACGCAAAAACCATACATCATGCCTCCAAAGTTTAGAGAAAGAGCTCTTAAGAATCTTTTTTATATTGTATATTCTGTACAATCATTTGCAAATGACTGGGGCATATCTAAACTGGATTCAAAATAAAAAAGGCAGAAATATTCTATAAGGTAATGTTTAGTTCTTTTGACCCCCAATGAGCTTTAGTGATATTAATACTGTACTAATTTTGCCCAAAACCTTTGTGTTTCCTACCTAAAATTGTCCTCCAGTTTGCGGGCTATGAAGGCAAAAATGAAGGCCACCAAAGCCAACAGGATGTCATAGGCAAAGATACAACAGATGAAGATCACAGAGCCTATTCCACACTCGAGAATGACCTTCTGGGCAGACATGTTTTTGACTGGGTATGGAGGGATGATGATGAGCCACACTGTGCATGCTATAGCCTGATAGAAGGATGATAATGTCAGCAATATTACATTATAACATCTGACATTACTAAGAGGTCAGAGAAAGATGCAGGTTTCCTGTTTTGAAATGTACACACCTGTATCAGTGTTGCTACAGTAGCCATCGCCCTCTGGTGGACACAGGTGAGACTGTCAACCTCAGGAACAGCACTGATGCTGGCGTCATTGTTTTTATTGGTGTTGGTTATAATGACATCAGGATTGCCGCAGTTGGCTGCTGCTTCAGCTGCTGCTTTTGCAGCTTTGGCAGCTGCTTTGGCTCTGGCCCGGGCCGCTTTCAGAGCCTGAGCTCTCAGCATCAACACTGCTGCCTTACCTGAGACAGAGAAAGATCAGTGCAAGTGTAAAATATACTGTATTTATCCTTGAAAAATCCTCATTCAATCTCACATTGTTGTCTTGGCCAAGAATAAATCAAATCAAATCAAATCAAATCAAATCAAATAAATCAAGCACAACTAAAGCGATAAAACTGAGGGTACAGTTATTTCTAGTAGTAGTTACAAACCCTGAGGATTCTGAGGCGTACAACATGTACACATATAAAAAACACACCCATGCACACATGATGTATACCTTTTTTTGTTTGTTTGTTTTTTTGACAGTGTACCTACCCATGATGGATGAGAGGCAGAGAGAAAAGCCCAAAGCCAGGGCTACGTTGCTAGTCATGCAGCTCCAGTTCTGAGGCTGACCAATGAAGACAATGGAGCAGAGGAAGGTCACCACCAGTGAGAAGAGCAGTGTGAAAGTCAACAGAGGATCATTGGCCTTGACCAGAGGGGTGCCAAAGTTCATGATAAACAACACCTTGACAAAGTAGAGCATAAACACAGTGAAACACAACATTTGATGTTTTCTTACTCTCCACAACAAGGAATCTGTTGGAAATGCTGCTTTTTCCCTGCGCCAGTCTCACCCCAACGGCAATGGTGAGTAGAGCACCAAAGACAGAGATGGCTATGAGAGTGATCCCCAGTGGCTCTCCAAAGGCCAGGAACTCGATGACTTTTGCTACACAGGCATCATGAGCATCATTGGACCAGTAGTCCACACCACACAGGATACATTCACGAGCATCTGTCAGAGAGTGAAGGAGAGGGCAATAAGAGGCCAGAAGGTTTATCGAATGATGTTTAGACTGATGGTGATAAGTCTCCTTCACACTCCATGAACGTTCACAGTTTCTGTGTTGGTACAGTATAGCACCAGCAAATGTAATATGTAGTATAATTTGACGTCTTTGCAGATTTACATTTGTTTGTTAATTCTGAGTCAAACTTTAATAAATACAACAGAGCTTTAAAACATGAAATTATTTATCAGCCCAAATATTAAAGTAAACTTACTTGGAGTACCAACACAGCCAGCATTGTGAAGAAGGCCCACCAACACCTGTACTTTCTAAGAAAACTGAAGCATACTGGGCCCTGTACTACAGTCCTCATCTCCTTTTATCAGTGTGTGGTGGAGAACATACTCACCACATCTTGCATCACTGTGAGGTATAGAGGCTGCTCTGCAGACAGACATGCATTATAGAGAGTCTATCTATCTATCTATCTATCTATCTATCTATCTACTGACTGGTTGTGTTGCTGATCTCTCCATCAGCGCAAGGGATGCAGTCAAAGCAGCAGACAGGCTCTCCCTGCCGGATCCCCTTCCTGGTGCCGGGCTTACAATTCTCATTGCACACTGACCGAGGAGGTTGCAGCATTTCGCTGTTCCACACGATGGAGTCATTCATTATGTTCATCATGTCCTTCACGTCTGCTGAGCCATTGTAGTGTCCCACCTTAACGTAGGATATGTCCCCATTACTGTTCACCTGCCAGTTAAGGATGTCATAATAGCCCTTCACTTCCCCTTCATCAAAGTAGATTTCTTCATTTGTGTGCGGCACTGTGTAACGCACATTCTTCACATAGTACATCAGCTACGGAAGAGAGAGATATAGCCAGATTTGTGTCATGCATATACATATAGAAATAGTTGCACGCACAAACACACAGGCTTACCTGCCATGGCTCAAAGCTGGAGATGTTAGCACAGGAATTCCCAACGAACGGTCCCTTTCCATCTTCACAGTGCTCCAGGTTGTGCAAGGCGTTAGCCACAGCATACACGGCTTTGTACACACTGTGGGGAAACACCTTCATCACTATCATCATTGCAGTGCAACATTACTAGCATCAGTGATACCTGTAGTTGTAGTCTGAGTTGTGAGAACTGACTTGTAAGTGATTCGTAACTCGGAAACATCAGTGAAGGTATTATTGAGCTTTGCCAGATTCTCTTTCCCAGTACACATCCCATCAGGAAGCCCACTCCCCGCCCTGGACAGTGTGTCATTAACGCCCTGAGCCGTTTGCTGGGCCTGACTCAGAGCTCTGCTATAGCTCAATGTGCAGTTAAACACCTGTAAGACAAAAATATAGTCAGAAACCTCACATTTTCTATATGACTTTTAATGTTGGTATTGAATGTTCATTGTTTAAAGTTTTCAGTCGACTGTCTCAGGGACTGTCTAGGCAAAAATGTATGATTACAAGCTGCAGTTTAGTCAAAATTTAATTTTCCAAATTTTGCATGTGGCTAATAAATGAGTAAAGACAGATTAATAGTCGTTAACTCATCAGCCAAATCAGCTTAATAAACTCACAGTTTCCCAGAATTCCTCAGTGAGGGGGTCATTATACGGGTCAAGGCGCAGTAGGTACGTTTCAAGACCAGGGATGTCAGCCCTCTTCACTGCAAAGCCGAGGGTACCACCCAGCAGTGAGCTCACCTGGATGAAAACATGAACATTACCAGCTTCAGCTCAAATGATTTACAGACTGTTCAAACTGGACAGAACCTCTGGAACAACTGTAACTGCCTGATCTTCAGTCAGTTGGTGAGCTTTCACCCTGGGACTGAGCACTCACTCCAGGTTGGTTGATGAGAGCAGAGGTGATCCAGGCCTCGCTGGCAATCCAGGTTCGATTAGTCACATTATGTTTGAGCAGTTCATGGATGAGAGGACTAAAGTCTACGTCTGATGAGAAGACCACAATGATCTTGGCCGTGGATTCCACCACAGTTTTAACAATACGTTGGATGATCAGTGGGGAATGTGCCTGAAGTTTATACAAAAGGTATGGCTGTTATTCAACAGGAATGAAAACCCAGAAATGACAGTAACAGGTGGGATGGTGAAATACTGATGGGAAAAGATAAACTGATTACTTTAGGCAGGGTCTCCGCAAAGGAGATGCAGACACCGGCATCCTCCACCTGGTCCCTGAAGTCTTTGATGCCATATTTGCCATAATCATCATCGGCAGCTAAGGTACCCACCCAGGTCCAGCCGAAGTGCAGCACCAGTTTGGCCATGGCTGCAGACTGATGCCTGTCATTGGGAATGGTCCGATGGAAGGTGGGGAACTGGAACTTACTTTCCAGGGCAGAGCATGATGAATAATAGCTGACCTGTAAAGACAAGAGGATTAATGTTGTCCCATTTGGTTCATTTTTCTTGTCTTTATCTACCTTGATGTCATTCACCACTGGCCTACCTGTGGGAAGTGATAGAGTCCCAGTATCCTAGCAGTGGCGACGGACAGATCAGTGCCCCCGGCACCCACTAGAGCAGCCTGCTGTGGCCCATCACCACAGCGGTAGTTAGGTACAGCCTCATCTTGGCCTGTCAGGTAGGTGAGTGTACCCTCCACAGCCTTGGAGATGGTGAAGCAGGAATCGTAGATGACATAGCCCAGGTCGGTTAAGGGCAGTATGCTATCGTCACTGTTAATTTCATTGATGGCAAACAGCATGGTCTGGGTCCAGCGGAAGGCGCGGAAGTTAAACCTAGAGGATGATGGGAGGGTGATAAGCACAGCACATTTCTACAGATCATTCTTCCTCTGCTGTCTTTTGTCTTTTATAGTGTTAACACCTGCTGCAAAAGCTTGTGTTTAGAAAGAAAGAAAAATAAAGAAAGCTCAATACACATTCCATACCAAATTAGAATACTTGTAGACATGAATCTTTTGATGTCATTACCTAAATTAGACACAAGAGGACAGTTCACAGGCTTGCTGATTACTGTTACATACTGCACTGTAAAAGCTTGTCTGAATAATATTATGGGCCACTAATTGGCCCCAGGAGTGGTGCCCAGCTCTGTCCTGATTTCTCCAGTAAAATGATAAGGTTAAGAACTCCCAGAAGTGTGGATGAAACACAGTTAAATTATCTTTCATTCAAGTAAATATGAATTATTTGATGCTGACAGGACTATAGGTTTATCTACAATTAATTTAACACATCCTGCAACAGCATAAGCTAAAGGAGACTATACCTACGTGGTCACAATGATGAAAAAAAGACATGAAAAACAAATGGCTTGACTCACCCCTCGCACCCCAAGGAGATGTTCAGAGTGCCATTAGAAGAAATAACTCGGTTGTGAACAGGAAACATCCCCCCGACAACAACCTTTTTCTTTTCTACGTTTTTGTAACCACTCAGGTTGAACTTGGCCTTCAGCTTGCATGTGGATGATGCTGAAACAGAGCTGTAGCAGCAGAAAAAGACATACAATCCAAGCAAAAAACGTCTGATTTCCATGCTATGTTGATGCAGAAAGCAGTCAGGAGAGCTCTTTCTGTGGCAGACAGCGAAGTGTGACAGGTGTCTCACCTGCTCTCAAGGGGGATGTGCTGCAGGAGGTAACCTGAGAATCAACAGTGCAAAAGTGAAGAGGAGGACAGTGGATTACAGCGATTGGCTGAGGGCATCTTAACCTCTGTTTAATGTGAAGCATAGACAAGAAGGCCTTTATTAAATGTAACAAATGGTAGTAAAGCATATCATCTCATTAATTCTGTATGAAATGAGGTGTAGTTAGTCTTGTGTCCCTCCAACAACACAAATCTGACCCAGGACCATCAAACATGTGCAAACCTCTATGACACATAAACTCGGTGAAACACCAGATCATTTAATTTCTTCCATCTCTGTTCTTTCTTGTTCCTCCAGTAAAAAAAATAAGTTTGATAGTATGTGCACGGGTCAGCTACAGATAACAAACTGCCACAGGCTAGGAGTTAATTGGCAGGTGCGTGTGGTAACTTGTAGTCATCATGTTAACATTACAATAAGGTTATTGTTCCCAAGTTGTGTGTTGTCCCATGAGTGTGGTGTGTTGATGGGTGACTGAACTTGTCTGCTCTTGTCTCTCAGTCAGCTGGGACACATACACCTGAACCCCCAGTACACACAGGGACGTCTGCCACTTCTTTCAACAATATGGCCATTTACAGTAATGTCGCAATAATGGCGGGAAATTACACCAAAGGGAAGTAGTCACACAGAAGGATGGAATCTAAAAAAAGGAAGGAGATATTTGGATAGCAGTGGCGTGGTGGTTAGCGCTGTTGCTTCACAGTAAGAAAGTTCCAAGCTCAGGTCCTGGCCGACCCGGTGAGGAGTTTGTATGTTCTCCCTGTGCCTGCCCAGGTTTTCTCCAGTCCGACTTCTTTCCAAAGACATGCAGGATATCTTTACTGGTGACTCTAAACTGCCCGTGTGTGTGGTTGTTTGTCTACATGTCAGCCCTGTGATAGACTGGTGACCTGTCCAGGGTGGACCCTGCTTCTTGCCCAATGTCAGTTAGGACTGGCTCCAGTCCCCCACAACCCTATTCAGGAATAAGTGGCATAGATGGCAGATGGATATTTAGATAGATAGTAATAAATACTTTACAAATGATAAAATGAGAAAAATCAAATCGTAACAACAACAAAATCACAATATCATTACACAGATTGTAACGTAAGCCTTGTTTCCCTCAAACTTTTCAGTTTTTGCCATTATTTTGAGCCAAAATGTGCTTGTAAGACAACAAAAAAAAGAACAATCAGATTTGGTGTTCTGTTAGCACAATATCATTACACAGATTGTAAGCCTTGTTTCCCCTCAAACTTTTCAGTTTTTGCTATTATTTTGAGCCAAAATGTGCTTGTAAAAAAAGAAAAAGGAACAAAGAAAATAATCAATACAGATCCTATAAGTCTTAAAGTATGGTAAACAAATACAGAATGAACACCAACATATTTAAGATGTTAATGACCGAAGTGAGAAGTTTCAACATGGAGATCTTTATTAAAGCTTAGTTTTCCATTGTACAAATGTCATCATAGTTGAAACTGCATGCAGTGGCTTGGTTTGAGGCACATTACTAAGGAGAATGGACAAAATAAGAAAACCATCAGACATAGAATTGCATAACTTAATCTCAATATTGCAATTAAATCCAACTACAAAATTATGTTTATTATCATCAAGCTGTTGTTTTCTGTGGAGACGTATGCAACATAAAATACACATATAAAAAGGCAGAGTAGCAGTTAAGACAAATAAGGAGAACCATTCATTGGGAGCATTTTGCCACTAAAGGTTAAGGATATAACAGAGGATGAGAGGTACAAAGACAAATTCTGGGGACAAATTCTGCCTGACTGAAATGCTTCTAACGGGGCACAATACACCTTTTAAAACTCAGTTAAACCTGAGCATTGTATTCACTGAAGTCTAAACAACAAGACTGAAGACTAGAGGTTATGTGTTACAGTACAAAGAGAAATTGAGCATTGTCTTTCTGAGACAGTGAATTTGTTAGAGATGGCAACAAACGGTTAACTTTAACACTACAGAATGACACTGGATGTATGATTCTGTTATACTGTTGAAGCACCAAGGCTTTAGGGGGGAAAGATCAGACAAAATGTGCAAAAATGTTCCCCTGCACAACAAAAGAGCAGCCAAATAATGAAGTGAAAACTGTAATTTACACAATGTGGTTATAAGCTCTACTGTATAATATTAGTTAGTCCTCTCATCTTGTTTATTCATCATGAAAAGCGTACATATTGCAGCATAAGGAGAAACAATTGTTATATCCTCCTTTCTGGAAATATCAGAGTCCAGGTCAAGACACACCAAAGGAAAAAAAAAACAGTGGAACAGGCACATACAAAGTTACCCATTATATCGGCTTCCTGCGCAGCTGCACACCAGTCATCATACTGAAGCTATTCTTGGGCTAACTGCTGTCCACAATGGGTAGAGCAACAAGTCAACACTTGTCAACAAATGTAGCTTGGAAAAGATCGCCAGAAGCCCAAAATGTTTTATAATCACACAGCATATTGTACTTTTGGCAAAACAAAAAGCTTAAAAATTATTGATTGGTCACATTGGTTGTCTGTTCAGTTCTTATTCCTGTACAGACAACTTTCTTCATAGCACAGTATACAGGCAGAAAGTGAAACAGAACAAAGTGAGAGGATAGTCTTAGGCTGAGAACATTCTGACCTACAGTACAACAGTAAAACAAAAAAAAGGCATAAAAACTGGTGAAGACTTTCAAACTCTTTCTTTTCATGACACTATTGTCTGCTTGTTTTCATATTTAGCTCATCCCATAATGCAACCTGAGGCACAAGTCCACTCTCTGAACTTCCACAGCTCATCACCACTTGCTTTTAATGGATGACCTCACTAAAAGAAACAGCAACTTCCCTTAGAGAGGAAAAACCCACTGTTGTACATGGGTCAAAAATGAAAATATATTATCAATAACCAACATTAATTGACCCCTATTGCCCAAAATATTAAGACCAGGGAAGAGTGGCATTGAGAGCAGGATAATGGCACCTTTGCATGTGCGCCTGTCACAGTACGGTCTGCCTTCCATGGGAATGTTAAAGAGAGGGCAGGGTTACATTGGGGAAGAGGGGGAGGTGGAGAAGGGAATGAAGGAAGGACAGAAGATAAGAGGAGTTTACCAGCCCTCTCTGATATCTCGAGTGTTTGTGCATGGTGTGTGATGTCTTGCCCTTTCCGACTATTCCCACTCTGTGGTGCCAGGTGGTTTGGAGGTCAGATCATACATGACTCTGGAGATGCCTGGGATCTTCTTGATCTCATTTACCATCTTCAGCACCACCTGACAAAACAGATAACAAGATGTAAGGCTTAAAACACTGAACTAGACAGAAATTTTAGGCAGTCCTTACTTAAATAAATAAATTTGATCTATGATTCTAAGATAATTCATCTAAGTCCAAGAAAATAATAAGACCAGACTGACAGGCTGAGTGATGTATACCTCCTCTGGGATATGATTGCCCGGCATGGCGGGGATGCCAGTCATGAAGTCGCTGGTGATAAAGGTGCGGATCACCACGGAGCGCCGGCAGGACGGCTGCTTTTGCAATGGGTCACGGTCAAAGTGCAGCGGGGTCAGGATGACTGGCATCTGGCTGATCTTACCGGAGTAGCCTGAAAACAAAAGAGAAAAAGAAACGCTCTTACCTTAGACTGATTCTGAAAATCAATTAATTACACTATCACTATCTGTATGATGGATTGTGGCAGTGACTAAAAGAAGCTTGAAAAGTTCTCCCTTCTCTGTATGTGGAAACATTTATCAAGTTAGTCACATAGCACCTTTCCATTTGATGATGTCACACAACTGCTGAAGAAACAGAACACAACAACAAACTTGCAGAAATGCGGCGTCTTCACTCTCCCCGCGTTCATTCTTCTAAAACCACCTCGGTGCTCGTTATGCTGATTGTTGTGAACTTTTTCAATGGGAAGAAAACAAACGCTAACTTTATGTAATTAACAGTGTCATCAAATGAGCTGTGTATAAAAATAGGTTGAATCCTTGTGGACTTGGGGGCTGAGACTAGCAGCTCCTCTGCAGCAGAGCAGGTCTGTATCCAGCAGAGAGGACAGGATGAAGCCACACGCAGCAGCCAGTTTAACATAAGACCACAAAGCCTTGTTAAATTAAAAATTTAAATGGCTGACTGTGATAATATTCACTCCTAAACTGTGATATTTTGGTCAGGGGTTTGCAAAATCATTGCATCTTAGCACAGGACAGCACTCCTACAAAGGTTGAACTCCACTGTATCAGTATGCCGTGTAGCAGGCTACAGGAATTCAGCCCGTTACACATTATTCAATAGGAATGGTGGTAGTATTGTTTGTTATCACAGAAAACGTTTCAAGTAATTTGCACAGCCTCTTGTTACACAGGATAGTCTATGTAATCACTATCAAAGTATATCTCATGAAATTAAACTGTCTCTAAAGTCACTGCACTTCTATGGCAAACAGTTTTTTATAGTAGAAACACTGCATCGTCAAGTACTTGGTATCGGTGAGTACTCAAATGCTGGATCTTTGTTGCCTCTTCTCAAGTTGCTCACACATATCCACCACATACAAATCTTCTCTAGTGATCTGCAGTGCTCTAATACACAAGGCCAAATTTAAATACCTGAAATATGGGTGTGACCAGATCTCACAATACTAAAACATGACGATATTCTCATCGAGGCAAAAGCTGTCCTGTAATATCAGTACATAACAGAACCAGAGCAGCAGCCAGTATGACGGAATGTGACGGCAAAGTGACGATATGTTCACATTAGTCCAGCAAAAACGCTACTCCCTGCTGTTTTCACGCACAGGGCTCAAACACCTCACTCCCGTTGGTCGGGGGAGCATAAACTGTGGACCAAATTTGATAGTGACTAGCAGTGAATGCTTGTTATAACATGACTCGAGAATTCGTTCTCGTATCGTTCTCATGAATCCAGTATCATGCCTCATCTTGTCTCGTGAGCTAAGTGTATCGTCATACCCCTAACCTGAAATCATTCACATATACTTACCAGACTCTCTCAGGATAGAGTGAGCTACAAAGTCAGCCTGTCTGAGTGTACTCAGAACGCCTGTGGTCAGGAAGGTCGGGGTGATATCTGTTGGCGGCTCCTTGACGTGGGACCCGAATACATACACAACTCTGGAAAAAGGAGACACGTGAACAGTTGAGTGAGTCTGTGTCTAATGTGGCATGTCACTGTGGACAGCTAAAGAGTAAAAATGTGGGCAAAGATTTGTGCTTTACCTGTTGATTCCATGGCATATGCGAGGGATGAGTCTGGCCAGGAACATGAGAGATTCCCAGTGTGGAGATTCTTTACTTGTGATGCCACACACGTAACTGTAGGACCGGCAATCACCCTGAGATACACACAGAAGATTGTTCTAATGTGGTTTTTAAGTTTATAAAGAAAACAGGTTAATTGTAGTCTTTACAAGCCAAAACACAAAATAACCAACAAAAACCTATAACTGTTAGTGTACACATCATCCTTCCATTTTGCTTTCTGTGTTAAATAAACTGAAGTTTCTATATAAGGGAGTCTGCATAATCAGACTGTTTTCACTTCCAGCACATGCCCCAGACAGTGAAAGCTGCTGGTGTTTGTCTAAAGTCTCCTGCAGTTCAAGGTTTAAGGTAATTTTAAAACTCTGGCCTCAAACACACCCACACAGTCAGACCACAGTGTCTGGGGGAAGAAAGCAGTCATGAGCATCATTCTCTCCAGGCAACACTGAAGGGCAGTATAAACTACTGCAAAGTGATGTTTGCTTACCATGTTAAAACATCTCTACAGAGAACGTTTTGTATGTGTCAGAGACTCGCATAACTCACAAAAAACTGAAATGCCCTACAACAGTTACCGCTAGGGGTGTGACAATACACTCGGCTCACGAGATGAAACGATATTAGGTTCACGAGAATGAGAACATTTTAACACAATTTTTAAGAAATCTTCAATGATGAAATGTGACTGGAAAAAGTCTTTTATTTGACTGAAAGACACAAAATGCAAAACATGTAGGTGCATTTTGAAATGTTTTAACTCATCTCGTAATGAATGTCACTTCTGTTCTACTTTCTGAGTAATAAATTATCATACGCAGTAAAAGACAACAATAAACAAAACACAAAGGAAACTCACGGGCTGGAAACATGAATGAAGCCACTCGTCACAAAGTGGTCGTATTGTACACGCCTACGACATCATCATGATATCATCGTGGTTTAGACTAGACAAAATCCAAAAGTAAGAAGCTGCAAAGTTTTACGCGTGGGTGTCTCATGGTTAACCACTAAATTACAGCTAAAGAACGAGACAAACAGCAAGAGTGACACATACTATTTCAGTCCTGCCCTTGAACAGCAGTCCAAAAGACTTTAGGATTCTCTACATATACACAACAGCTCAGAAATTCCACACAAATAAAAAAAAGCTATGTTCAAACTAACATGTAGATAGATACATCGTGCATCCAAGTCTGCTGCTCGGAAAACCAGTTAATAACTGCTAACAACCTCCTGAAAAACTTTTTTGTCACCTAGCAACTGGTGCCCAACATGTGCGTGATTTGCGTATGTATGCCCTCCTTCCTTGTGCTGCGCCCAATCCCCATGTCGAGCACAGGGTGGATAGCAGCAGTCTGTGGTGTACAAGTTAGTGTCAGTGGTAACTGGGTGCTGCAACTGCAGCACTACACCCTGCTACTAACTAATGAAAAGAAAACACCAATGCTGCCAGGTGGCGGCTGTGACAGCACTCGCTGTCTGAAAGCACCTTGACTATGTAACGCTTGCTTAATAATGCCATTTGTTAATATAATGCTGAACTGCAATATAAAATTTGTATAAAAGAGTCTTAGAGTCAAATTGTCAGTAAAAGACATCAAAGCAAACTTGTATGGGCCTGAGCTGTTAGGTTTATCTGAATGGGTACGTTATTATTTTGCATTTTATGGGCTGATTATTAATTTAGCCAATCAGCAACACAAACATACAGAAAGACGGAGTGAATGTGATGAACTGACAAGACTCATTTACCTGGACGCCGACAGTTTTGATGGGCAACAGGAAGGCATTGAGTGAATGAAGGCTGGTGATCTGCATGAGCTTCTCTTCCTCCTCGTCTGATATGTATGACTTGACTCTTTGCAGCAAGGTATGGGGCTGGAGAGAAGACAGACTGATTTTAAAGTAACATATAACATTGGCAAGGGCAGAAATTTCTGACTGTGATAAGTTCTGTCTATGTTGCCGAGTACATCAAACAATGGTCAATAGAGCCACTAAAGCCCCAATCTACACAGTCAAAGTTGAATTCATGAGGATCAACTCTTCACTTTAAATTAATTATTGTATCTAATGAACAGCAAATTACTGACAGCCTGGTTCTACTGTCTGACAAGCAGCAGCCAACACAACATCTTATCAAAGCTTTAATTTCTGTTCTTGAGTTGGTATTGTGCTTGGCTACAGACAGCCACTGCTGATATATTAGTATCTTTATTGCTAGATTTTGATTTTACTGAGTTTATTTCTCAAATGAAACCATATCTGAAAACTCCACCTAGCTGCCCAAAACTACAAGGAAATGCTGTCAGACCAGTGCACAATAATAAATCCAAGGCCACACAATTGTTATGCTCCTGCACCACTTGAATGACCAAATACTTCACCAGTGACTTGTGATGCTTTGTGCTGGTATAGTCTTTAAACTCAACACAGCACAGACTAACGGTTCACTTAAAATACTTGGAGTTTTCCATCAGTCCTGTATCTCTCTTTGATTTATTTGGATCAATGTACCATTTCTAATATCTAACATCAGGAAATTCACAGCTGGTGTTCAACACCTTTGATTCATTTAATAACTGTTGTGCCAACACTGGCACACGAATTAATGGACGTGTTTAAACTGTTGAATGCGTGTCTTTAAGTGGCACAGACTAGCTTATTCTTGCCATTAGTTGCAGTTGCATAAATTGGAACTGAGTTACAGTCACAAGGTGTTTTATGACATCTGCATGAGAGTTTTTTTTATGTATCTGTATTCAGTGTTTTATGACATCTCCAAAAATGTATGAGAGTTTTTTTTATGTATCTGTATTGTTCTGACCTTTTTGACACTTGCAGAGAAGTCTGTGATGATTTTCAGGATGTTGTTTGTCTCAGCAAAATCCTTACAGATGTAAGGTTCCTCTGCACAAATCACCCTGATGGACAAACCAGGGCCTAAAAGCAAAGAGAGAGGAGGAGGAGGAATGAGAAAGGACTGATATGTTAGGAATCAGAACCATTTTCAGTCTAATTAAATAAGCAACTGGGAATACATGAGGAAAAAGAGACAGAACTAGAAGGGTGGTATGAGCAGAAAGTGATCAAACCAACATCACTAAACACTGTTAAAAAAAAAACAAAATCACTACTTTTGTATAGTTTTGTCAGAGCAGTCACAACATCAGTTTGTGCTAATGTACTTGCCAGGAAATGGGTGTCGAGAAACAATCTCCTCTGGTAGGCCCAGCTCTCTGCCCAGCGCTCTGACCTCATCTTTATGGAAATCTTTCAGGGGTTCGATTACTTTTCCCTGGAGGATCGCAAACAAGTGAAATCAGTACTACAACAGTCAGGAGTGAGGGACATGCTTAGTTGTTGCACAGTTGTGCATTTATATAAAAGGGCTGAGCAAAACAACAGAAACACCAAATAAGAACCCTAAACCATGAATCAGGAATGGAAATGGGCCGATCCACATTTTTTCAGTTCTGATCTGATTACGATACACAACTGCCGATAGAGACATAGATTCCGATACAAGAGCTCTTTCATTTCAGTAAAACAATCAACACTAATAAACAAAATATTAAATTGTTGTAATGATGTGTAAGTGCAACCACTAGATGGTCAGAGGCAAGGACTCGCACACATTTACAAATCTCCACTTTTGGGCTAGAAATAAACATGTGGCTTTGGTTTTGCAATATTTCATATTAACCATTTAAAATAGAGCCAACATTAGAGCATTAATAATTTATTATTAATAAAAGAAATGTCTCACTTATCTTTGTATCGAGGGTCCAGTAAAGTGGAACAGTGAACAGAGGGGATCACCTTCGATGCTGCTCACAACTGAGGTCCAAATATCAGTTGTGAAGCTCATGGCTTTAACATCTTCTAACTGTGATGATGCTTGGTTGTATAGATCGGGCATAGCCGTCTCTGAAATGTATTTTCTGGACAGCAGATTATACCTGAGCTCCAAGTGCTCCAACAGGCTGCGAAATCCGAGATTTTCCAGGACAGATAGTGGTGGTTCATCGCATATAATGAAGTTGAGGTATTTCTCTGAAATGCCTTTAGCCTTAGGGTTGTCTGCTGGAAGTTTATTGCATTTCTGGAAAGCGTCAGCAAAAGTCTGCTGCCTGGTGGTGTTTTCTTGTTTGCTGGCTATCATGAACTCCTGGTACTCTTTCATGTAAACCCTCTGCAGGTACTTGATTAAACTGGTTGTATTGTACAACCCAACTGTAATTCCACCCCTTGGCATGCTGGCTTTATACACATTACAAGTAGCTGTCTTGCTTTTCGGCATTTCCAGACCGAAATACCTCCAAACAAACAAAATTTCTGTCAAACCAACAGCTAATGTTATTTGTTCACTTGGTTACAGACTGAAGTTACCGCAGGTTTATGGTAAGATGTGGAATGCAATCTGGATTGGTGATGTGTCTCATGTTAAGTTATGTTACTTTATGGTGGGTTCGTGGTTCAGCACAAGCTGCGGACTGGAATATGGATCAGTAAGTGGCTCAGCCCTGTTTGTCCAATATCCAATGAGTGAATGACGTCAATATCTGACCCAATACCAATACTGGATCGGGCCCTTCTCATCGGGAGGAGAGTGAATGTTTGTCTTCACAGGAGCTTCAAGTTTGGTGTTTATAAAAAAAAAAAAAAAAAAAAAAAAAACATCTGCCAAAGCAGCAGTATTGTTACCAGACATCACTCATACTGTCTGTGCCAAATTCCAAGTTTTTTTAACTTAAAAGATTCGGAGTAGTTGGTGTTATTTCAATGATAAGCAGGAAGGTTTCGCTAACTACAGGGACTGTGCCTCTCTGTCATGTCTGTAGGCTGAAGCTGAGGAACGCATCGGAGAAATCAATGGCATTACAATATGCGCAGGCATGTGCACAGTACCTCATCTCTGAGTTTGCGGATGAGCTCAGTGTCGTTGTGGTGTGTTTTGATGACTTCTGCCTTGCCACTGGCGAGATGAGAGGCACTCTCGATGAGGTCGGGCCTCAAGGTACCCTGGGCCAAGAAAACCTCCTCTGGCTTCAGATTCATCTCGCCTATCACTTCATTTGCCACCTATCAAGCAACAAGGTTCACAAAGTCAGACACAGCAGCAAACTAATAAATCAAGTACAAACTATAAGACCATGTTCAGAATGAGTTTCAAAGGTGTGAAAAAATGCAGCTCTCCCTATTCATTTCTATGGTGGACTGCATTTACTACAGCCAGCACCAGCACCACAGGAGGCTCTGGCAAAACAACGCAACCCTGTGCACTGAAAAAGTTGGATCTGGTCCAGCTTTTACTGCACCGGACAGTGACACCATCCGGCAAAGGCGCTACATTGACCAATCATGTACGGGGGAGACAATCGGGAGGTGTACACCCACTGGAAGAGGACTCTTTGGGCCACAATTAACGCACTATAAGAACACGCCATGTGTTTCCGTTAGTAGTGGATGTTAAATGTTTTTTTAATCTATCAATGCCGACACACTGGTGGTAGAATTGTGCTAAGGTAGAGGAGGCTACGTTAGCAGCATGGTTAATCCAAAATACAATGGAAACATGAATGAAGCCACTCACGTTGACTCGTCACAACATAGCCGTATACACATGCACGCCTACAACATTCCCTCTGCACGCCCCCAGTGTGATAAATCAAGTTATAATGCATTGCATTGTAAAGTAATTATAAAAATGCTATTAATAACATTTTTCATAAAGTAATGGTTTAAAAGCTAGTGCTCACTTTGACAAATGTGTCTCCAATAATTTTCCTTTTCTCTTCTGGGTTGGTAGTCATATTCAAGGTCTTGCTGATACGTTTCCGTGGCGTCCTGTCCTCCTCGGAGATGGGAAGAGTTGTTGTTCCATTGTAAAATGTGTGAGCTGCATTTACCACTGAGGACAGTGGCATTTTAAAAGAGAGGGGGGAAAAAAGGCAGAAGACACAATTGGGATATGAGGAAACAGAAACGTGACCTTTTCAAAGATCACACCACAACCAGAATAAATATCATGCTAGTACAGTATCCGGTTACGTTTTGGGATACAAACTTTAATTACAGAGTAGCTATCTAGTTTATAAAATGTCAAATATTTTCTCAGGTATCCATCACATAGCAGTGATGTGCAAAAAAAAAAAGAGCAATTTTCAAAAATATACTGGCTTGTTGTTTCACTTCACTCCTACAGGATCATATTTCTCAAACTATACCACAAGAGCTTATTTCACTATGACAATATGATATATTCCTATCTTATGCAAGTCATTCATTCTTACTAGTAAGGTTTTATTGTATCATCTCTACCTTTGAGTTTGATGCCCAGCTTGGTGAGGGCTTCTTCCACACTCTGACTCTCTCGTTTTCTCATGAAGCCGTTGTCAATGTGAACTGCTATCACCTGGTCCTGGTTCAGAGCTTTGTTGAGGAGAGCTGTGCACACTGTTGAGTCCACCCCGCCACTCAGTAGTACCTAAGGAAATCATCAGAAACAAAGTCTTTACAGGTCAGTCTGTAACCTTGCTGGACTAGGAATATATCAGCCAGGTTACCACCCTAGTGGTACACTCATTTATTGCTTTCACACTCCCCTGAGTTGAAGCCCAGTTCAAGCTGCTCAGGGAGTCCTTCTTTCAGAGAGAACAGGGTTTAATTTGAGCATTTAATTGGTTCTGCTTAACTTCCCACCACTGCTGCTGCTGTCACCACTTTCTAATGGGCTATGACACTTCACATTCAGCAACACAGTGTTAGAAATTAATCACATTATCTCTAATATTGAGTCAAACTACGCAGAGACATTTTTCTGTTTTCATAGTCAAAATGCTTTGGATACCAACACACATGCTCATGAAACTACATGTTTCACTCACCAGCACTTTAGATTTTCCTATTTTTTCTCTGATATCGTTGATGCAGGCCTGTTGGCGATTCTGTACAGTGAAGTTATTTGTGCATCCTGCGATCTCAAAGAGGAAGTTCCGCAGCATTTCCATGCCTCGCTCTGTTAAGTCAACTTCAGGGTGAAACTGTGTCCCATACATCTTCTTCTGTTCATTAGCAATCCCTAATGGAAACAACAGACGTAATAAGGAAATTCCTTTGAGCAAAACTAATACAATATAAAGAAAATTTAGGATTTGAGATGAATCTGAAACTAAAAAACTCAAAATACAGATTAAAAATTCTTCTCGGAGGCTGTGTCAGTTAAAAACATATAGTCTGAGGCTTTCTACAACAAACAAAACAAACACAGGTGTTTTTTTAGGACTTCCATGTCATAAATACTATATATTATCTTACTCAAGATTACATGCTACTTACCTGCAATGATGTTCCCTGATTGGGCCACCACTTTAAAACCATCAGCCACTTTATCCACACTGTCTCCATGGGTCAGCAAGACCAGCTCCTCCTTCTGAAGGCCTCTGACAAGATAAACACACAAGTGGACATCAGAGGAAGATGGCGTTCATCAACATGGCATATGATAGTTAAATGTGTGCAGCTACTATTTTCGGTGTGTGCATTTGAGTGAGTGAGGTGTGAAAAGCAGGCAGTACCAGAAGTCTGCAGCCTTCTATTTTAGACTCTGCAGTATTTGTCAAACAACCAGGGGAAATGTGTGATTGCTGGAATGCCTCTGCAGTTTTTACACGCAAAATGGCACTGGGAGTGTTTTATGCACTATCCACAACACTGTCCTCAGCTTCTTAAGAAAAGAGATGGCAGTCTAACTTTACTGACTAATCAATGTCATTTCTGACATGCTCATTTTTACTGTTCAATGGCTATGTCAAATTGGCACTGTTCGCTGATTTACATAACTGGATATAATGTTTCCTGCCTGATCAAGTGTGAAATGATACCTGTTAAAAAAAATAAATAAATAAATAAACAAACAATGTCTTACACGGCATAAAACATATCACCAACAGTGTTCCACTATGGCTTTTCAACAGACACTGGATGATCAATTCAAAGACTTTGCCTTCAAATAGTAAACTGCAGTTCAATAGATGCAACATACAGCATGGTTACAAACCCCATTGCCTTCCCTCTGCAGCTACTTGCACTGCCATATATTACCTGAAGGGATGATACTGGTCAGTAAGCACAATCTGCTTCATCATCCAACCCTTGTTCATTTGTAGTGATACTTTCTTTCATGTATACAATTTTTCTATATAGTGCATCTTCAAGAAAATAATCGGAATAACTGTTTACACTGACAAATTTATAATGTAATAATACATTAAAATACAACTGATTTTCATGTTGTCCAAATAAGAAACCATATTACCTGAACAGGGAACAAGTGTTGTCCAGCCCAATATTGAACACTCCATCTTCTCTCACGCTCTTTTTATGTACTGTACCGCCAAAAACTTTATTCATCATCTGTAACACAAACACGCAGCAGTATTAACCTCTGGGCAACTTCTACATTTTAGTGTTTCCAGCGATGCTATTACTGCCTGCTGTTTAGAGAAAAGTGCTAGAGATTAGATGGCTACAGGTTTTAATTTCCAGGCTATCTTGAAAAAACTGAGTGAGCAATGCTCATCTCCCTCAGCTGGCGTTGAAGTGCCCTCGATGAAGCTGGTGAAGTCCCAGCTGGCCCAGGAGAGCTGCACAGCAGCCTGGAGTAAAGTGATAGTGGAGTGTAGCTAACCAGGGTAAATGTGTTTATAATTCAGTCATTACCCATCACAGAATTATACCGTGTGTAAAACGGCATAGATACCTGCATCCCATAGCAAATCCCAAGAACAGGCTTTCCTATAGTGAATATGGCAGGGTCAAACCAGGGGGCATCTTCAGCATACACAGAAGCTGGACCTCCTGAAATAATGATTGCTCTAAGAAAAACAAGACAAAGAGGAAAATCAAGTTAAAATGTATTTTAAAAAAACCTATATAAAGAGAGATTAATGTGTATCTTTAAAGGAAACAAAATCATCTCTGGTGCATGTGCTTCTCATTCTCACCTGTAGCCCTGTTCTCTGATAGCAAAGGCTGGGGTTTCTAAAGGGAGGATCTCAGAGCGTATGCACAGTTCTCGCACCCGTCTGTCAATCACCTTCCCATACTGGGCCCCAGCATCCAGGATCGCCACTGCTCCCTCGTATGACCCATTCTGCTCTGTGCTGTTGATCTCCAGCTGCAGACACACACACAAAATAAATAAATAAATAAAACACTACCTTGTTGATAATGTTTGCAGAGGTTGTGTTGAGCTGAGCAGACAGAAAAGTACACAAGTGTGTAGTTAAGTGACAGAACCTTGACTAGCACATAAAATATATATACAGTTGAGGTCAGATGTTTACATACATGCATTAAAACTGATTTAAGCCACTCCACAGATGTCATGTTAACAAATTCTCATTTTGGCAAGATGGTTATGACATGTACTTTATGCATGACAAGTTATTTTTCCAACAGCTATTTATTTCACTTATAATTCACTATATCACAATTCCAGTGAGTCTGAAGTTTACATACACTCAGTTGACTGTGCCTTTAAACAGCTTGCAAAATTCCACAAAACGATGTCATGGCTTTAGAAGCTTCTGATAGGCTAACTGAGATCATTTGATTTAATAGGAGGCACACCTGTGGATGTATTGTAACGCCTACCTTCACACTCAGTACTGTTTTGTTTGGCATAATGGTGGGGAAAAAAAAAAAAATCTAAAGAAATCAGCCAAGACCTCAGAAAAAAAAACAAAAACTGTGGACCTCTACAAGTCTGGTTCATCCTTGAGAGCAATTTCCAAAAGCCTGAAGGTACCACAATCATCTGTACAAATAATGCCATGCAAGTATAAACATCATGGTGCAATGCAGCCATCATGCCGCTCGGGAAGGAAACGTACCGTCTCCTAGAGATGAACGTACGTTGACATGAAAAGTACAAATCAGTCGCAGAACAACAGCAAAGGACCTTGTGAAAACATGGGAGGAAACTGATATCAACTTATCCACAGTAAAAACAAGTCCTGTATCGACATAACCTGAAAGGCTGCTCAGCGAGGAACAAACCACTGCTCCAAGACCGCCATAACAAAGGCAGACTACGGTTTGCAACTGCACACAGGGACAAAGATCCTACTTTCTGGAGAAATGTCCTCTGGTCCAATGAAACAAAAATGGAACTGTTTGGCCATAATGACCATTGTTATATCTGGAGGAAAAAGGGGGGAAGCTCACAAGGCGAAGAACACCATCCTAACCATGAAGAACGGGGGTGGCAGCATCATGTTGTGGAGGTGCTCTGCTGCAGGAGGGACTGGGGCACTTCACAAAATAGATCGCATAATTACATCAGCCAGAAAGTGAAAGCCTGGTTGAAAACGGGTCTTCCAAATGGACAATGACCCTGAGCAGACTTCCAGAGTTGTGGCAAAACGTGACAACAAAGTCTAACTACTGGAGTGGCCATCACAAAGGCCTGACCTCAATCCAATAGAATATTTGTCTGCGGAACTGAAAAAGCATGTGTGAGCAAGGAGACCTACAAACCTGACCCAGTTCCACCAGTTCTGTCAGGAGCAATGGGGTAAAACTTATTCTTGTGAAAGGTGCCCAGAAACGTTTGACCCAAGTTAAGTTTAAAGACAATGCTACCAATTACTAAGTGAGTGTATGAAAACCTGTGAGTCACTGGGAATGTGATGACAGAAATAAACACTGAAATCAATCTTTTTCTCTACTATTATTGTGACATTTCACATTCTTAAAATAAAGTAGTGATCCTAAATGACATAACACAGGGAATGTTTATAGTATTACATGTCAGGAGTTGTGAAATTCTGAGCTTAAATGCATTTGGCTAAGGTTTATGTAAACTCACTTCAACCGTAGGCTTATTACTACACTTTGCATCAACAGCGGCGGTTTGGGTAAGAGGTGGAGTAAGACAATGTTTTCCTTCTAGACATTCTCCTTTCCATTCTAGACATGCTCCATCTCTGACCTCCAAATGGAAAGTGTGACTCAACTAAACCAAACATAATTATGGACATGTGAGTTGCAACACAGACAGTCACTCTGCAGCCATTCAGCCTATCACAAAACTCACATGACAATCACAACTTACTTGAAGGTTATTACTAAAAACGTTATCACTATTCACACTGTATTTTGAAATCCAGGTTCGCTACAATGCTTTTGCACTATTTCTGTCTGTTATCTTTATAAATATATGTGTAGAGCTAATTTTGGAAAATAAATGTCTGCGCAAGAACCAGAGCAAAGTCAGATCGCTGACAGTTAGCTAATTAATTCCCATAAAGAATAAACCTAGACAGCTGAGACAGATGAGGATGGTTAGAAAAAGAAACTCGACCCCACGTGGTTAGTGGAAATACTTCCGCCCTGGGTGTTCCTATAAACAGCTTGCAAAAGAGATACTAGCAATCACCTGTGATTTCCTGTCTAGGGTTTAAGCATTAAAACAAATCGTCATTATTCATAGCAGAAAAATAACAGACAGTTTTATAGTAAACTTTACCAGAGCAGCTAGTACCTCCAGTTGTCACACCAGTAACGCAAGTTGGCTCTTACTAGCTTTGTGAAGACGTTAGCAAACCTGTCAGTTGTGTGACAGCATCCGTATAAAATAAAGTTAGTATGCCACAAGCTCAATGTCACTTTTAAAAAAATAAACGCTGGGGCTATCATAATGCACGAATTCCTGTTAGTAGTGCTGTCATTAGGCTAGAATTTCGGACTAAAGCTAGCTAACAAATTGCCTATGTAGCATGCTAGCACACGGGTAGTATAAACATTAGTAATCAGCGTGAGCCTGTTAGCAGTACCTCCCGTGAGCAGCTGGCTAAGTTAGCGGAGCTATGCTAAAACCCACGCGGTTCATGAAGGCGAAGGCTCGAGTGGGAGTCCGCCATAAGCAGAGGGCAACCACATTTGGCAGCGAAATATGTCAGATATTACATTTATGCTAAAAATCGCCGAGATATTCTGTCCGGCTAGTCAGTCGTTACGAGCAACATGTTAGTGTAACTGCAACAGGCATACAACAGCATACTCGGTGCTCTTCAGCCGTGCTGCTGGTAACATTGCATGCTCTCTAACTTTCCCCCTCGAGCTACCCATAGGCCGTATTTAACCGGGGGGACTACACAGCAACCGGGGTCCTAACACAAAGTCAACTGAGCTACCCAGTACCAGAGCAGCGGGTACTGACCTTGCTGTCTCCGTTGCACAGAGCCATGAAGGACTACCGTGTTGTGGAATGAGCTCTCTCCTTCGCCTCGGTGTCCCGGGTCTCAGAGAGAGAGAGAGCTACTTGTTAATTCCTGGATCAGCACGCCGACTACTGTTTCAAAAGCAGATGGGTTGTTGGTTTGCTATTAGTCTGTTACAGTGTCTTGTCCTCCAGCTGGGCAACAACTTTTACAGTGAGAACAGACTAAATAAATGTGTTCGTGTTTTATGGGTGGAGCGCAAAGTTAAAAACGAGAGAGAATGAGGGAGAGTGCCCCATGGGGGCAGGGCTAAGGTTTAATTTAATTTAATTTAATTTAATAAAAACTGAGATTAACTTTAACAATAAGGTTTGTCAGTGCTTTCTCATAGAGGTGTCTAGGTAAATCTTCCCTGGGACCTTTACCAGTGACTAACCCGCAGAGTATGAGATTTCCAATACTACATCACAATTACATAAAGGAATTCACTTCCTGTCCTAATCTATTTTTTGCTATACAACACTGACAAATCCCAGTTTCCTAACACAAACTGCAAGTTGGGATATGGGCAATGATTATAGATAAAATCTTGTGTAAAGTTACTTTTATATGCCACGATCAGTATTAGGCCTATAATATGCCAGTGTACAACATCTGGAAACTCAACTGATAAAATGCCTGCAGATTTAAAAAAGGATGGAAATCCCTGTTTTGGCTTATGTATTTAATTAAACAGGCTGTTTGACAATTTAAGTGTAAAACAGTCCTGCTCATGTAGTTGCAACACTGCTGACAATTGCCTAATAACAAATAGGAATAACTCCCTATCCTGTTGCCTGTCACTGTGTTGCAGGCATGTACCGTATATGTGAGGAACACATTGTACTTTACTGTATTTTGTACAGTGTGGGTACATGGAGGACTTTTCCTTTCTCCTCGCTCTCTATCAAGTTCACATTTCTAACTCAAATTCAGAGGCTTTATTTGCATAAACATTTCAACAAACCATGTTGCAAAAGCATCAAAATACATGCTATAATTTATAAATATAGAAATATTTGGATAGTACACAATAACAACATTAAGACTGATGTGTATTAGCGGTATATCACATATATGCATTTGCTTTGTGTGTCTGGGTCATTGTAAATTTGAATACATAATGGGCAGTGAGATATGCCCTTCCTGTTTCAACCTGGAATTTTTCTAAACTCAAAGAGGAATGTTACAAAGACAAACAAAAAACATCAAATAGACAGATATCAAATTCCACTTTGTGCTGAACAATCTTGTAGTTTTTAGAGTTATTCATCCATCCATCCATTTTCCGGAGAGAACCCACGCAAGCATGGGGAGAACATGCAAACTCTGCACAGAAAGGCCCAATGTTAATCATGTATTTATTTATTATTTTCCAGGTACAAAAGATGCCCAGATTAAAAACTAACCCTGCGAGTGCTTCAGAGTATATCATTTTCAAATGGACTGAGGCAGCAAGTTTCAGCTCAGAGGTGGCAAACATTACTGAAGTTTGAACAATCTTTTCCAGTGTTCAAAAAGTTTGGGAACCACTGCTCCTGGAGATCATAAGATCATTCCGAGGAGTTGTTCACATGATTCACATGGGAAAAACACTAATTATACATGCCTGTGTTGGGATTTTAAAACACTTTAAGGGGCATAAAAAGTTTGAGAAGACCTGGGGTTAAGATACTCACATGTGAAGATATCAGCACCATTCTGTGGAAAATATATTGAATAACAGGCAGATATTATTTTGGCCTCTGAAAATATTCATTTCTGACTGGCACCTGTGTGCCCATCCAGATTGGTCAGACTATACCCATTGTTTTGAGTCAGTGCACAAAGAATATTAATTTAACCATAACAAAAATACTTTCAATTCAGTTAACTCTTGAGTACTGCTTGATTAATCTGGGACTAAAGCAAAAAGGATCTGTGGACTCCATACTCAGTTTGATTTAAGTCATGACAAACATCCCCTCTCCAAGCCACATAGAAAAGGCAAGTTACCAACCAACATAGCATGTCGTGTAGCATGTCGTTTTTCATCAAGTGTGGTGTAATGGCTGTATTATGACCCAAAAGATTGTTTGATTGAGGAGAATATTTCACTGCAGTAAAATATCTGAAAATGTCTTCCACCACTGGCAATATGTCTTTGTTTGATTTTTGGACAATGTCTGTCTAAGATTGTTGATTTATAGCCTACATTTTCCCATAAAACATAGTGTGTTAAGCATATAAAATTATTAGTTGCTTGGCAGATATACATATTTTGGACAGGATTTAGTAGGTTTTGCAGTTCTAAGAACCTTTTCTTTTTAAATTCTTTCAGCTTTATTATCGTTTCACACTCCAGTCCAGCAGGTGGCGGTAATGCACCTTAAGTTGGCTTGCAAACCGTCAATAAACATCATAATAAGAATAGGAAGAACAACAACATAGTGTGAAGCGGAATTTTTTACACGTCAACTGTAAATGTCGGACACATTTAGATGTTGCACACGCTGCACTTCCTGCGTTTTCTGTGTTGATGTTCATCGATGTAAACGATGACCGTTTTGTTGTGTTTCTTACCTTGGTTAAGATGCCACTAATTTACTAATGAAATAAAGCCATTTTCCGTTTGGTTGGCTTTGGAATTCAGCCGTTTTTGTTATACTGCCCTCATCATCAGGTACTTATGCATGAATTCATTCTGAATTCATTCAACGCTGCAGCTTGTGAAAATTCACTATACTTTTCATTTCATCGCATCTTCATAGTATGTTTATAACGTTGTATTTTCCCTAACATTCTAGGGAAGTAGTTGACAACGGCCAACCTAAGTTAGTACACTCACTGCTTCACCTGCTTCATAATTAGCTTGAACTGCTTTTTTGTCACAACGTGGACATTGCATTTGTTTATGACGTGTTTCACACAATAGACAGTCTCTGGCCTATTTGCCATTTGTTTATGGAACAGTTATGTAGTCACTATTACACTGCATATAGCTCATTCAATGTTCTTCTACTCATACCTTGTGCAGAAAGCCAAGGATACATAGAGGCCAGCTATATTAACTGAATATATGGGTTTGTGTTAAAATCAGTCTCTTCAGTATCATGCAGTATATTCTAAATAAATATATACATATAAATATTTTATTTTTGTCATTGTATTCTGTTTTTATTTATGTTTTACACAATGTCCAACTTCATTGGAATTGGGGTTTGTAGTTCTGTCTCATCTGTTTCTGCAGATTTGCTGAGGGTGTAGCAGATTTGATGCCCACTGCTGCAACATGGAATCCTCAGATTTGATCGGGCGGCAGAGAAAGCTGATGGGTGTTTCCCTTTCACTTGAACACATGAGGAACGTGGACAGGGGAGAGATGAGTGCCTCAGAGCCAGATATAGAAGAGGGGGTAGAAGGGTCAGATCCAGAGTCCAGGAGACCCAGAGCCCAGCCTGGGATTCGTGGCGAGTTGGGGAATGTTTTACTTCTTCTGTTTCTCTATGTGCTGCAAGGTATCCCTCTGGGACTGGCTGGAAGCATCCCCCTGATCTTACAGAGTAAGGGTGTCAGCTACAAACACCAAGCTTTCTTCAGCTTTGTCTTTTGGCCATTTAGTCTCAAGCTTCTTTGGGCACCGCTGGTGGATGCTCTCTACTTCAGCAGGTTTGGTAGAAGGTAAGATGGTCACATATATATGTAGTGTATGTTAATGTTTTTCCTGCCCTTTCCTGATCATTTCTATGCGGTCCCCCATCTTGCACCTCTTTCTGCAGAAAGTCCTGGCTGGTGCCAACACAGTACCTGCTGGGCCTCTTCATGCTCTACCTTTCTGTACGTGTCGATTCACTGCTGCAGAGCGAGGGAGGAGCGAATGTGGTAACACTTACTGCACTCTTCTTCATGCTCACCTTCCTGGCAGCCACACAGGTAGGCAATCATAAACACATTCAGATGAGTTGTAAATACATTTGAGTAGATTTCCTTCCTCCCCTCACAATGTCTCTGCCTTTCCTGACTTTAAGGATATAGCTGTGGATGGCTGGGCCCTCACCATGTTATCCAGAGAGAATGTGGGTTATGCTTCTACATGTAATTCTGTAGGCCAAACAGCTGGGTACATCCTGGGAAATGTACTCTTTCTGGCTCTGGAGTCTGCTGACTTCTGCAACAAATACCTCAGAATAGAGCCCAAAGCCACAGGCATCGTTACGTTATCAGGTATGTGTCAAATCATTTGTCATATCATGGTTTATAACAGAGAACTGATTTGAGCAATCAGCTGAGTAAAGTGTATTCTCTGATGCTTCCTGTTTGTCTGCTGTAGATTTCTTGTGTTTTTGGGGAATGGTGTTCCTGTTCTCCACAACACTGGTAGCCATCTTTAAAAGAGAAAATGAGCCCGGCAAAGGAAAGAGGAAAGTCCAGGAGGAGACGCAGGGTGTTATGGAAACCTACAAGTTGCTGTTTTCTATTGTCATGATGCCCACAGTCTTCACCTTTTGTGCCCTGCTTCTCACTGCTAAAGTACTTGACCATTGCTTGATAAATATTTGGTTTACCTTCAAAATACAGTTTTTAAGGTGATGCATGTGTGAATTTAATTTTGTTGTACATCTTTTCCACGTGCCTCAGATTGGTTTCTCTGCAGCAGATGCAGTCACAGGTCTGAAATTGGTGGAGGCTGGAGTTCCCAAGGAACAGCTGGCATTGCTGGCAGTGCCCATGGTGCCTCTGCAGATCCTTCTACCACTGGTCATCAGTAAATACACAGCAGGGCCCAGACCTCTGGACATCTTCTACAAGGCCTTCCCTTTTAGGTTATACCACACATAAATACACACAGACCCTTGAACACATACTCAATAAACGAAAAGCTAACAGTTCTGTTGTGTTGTAGGTTGCTTATAGGGCTGGAGTATGCTCTGCTGGTGTGGTGGACCCCGAGTGTAAAACAAGAAGGAGGCTTCCCTGTTTACTACTATGTCATAGTGCTGCTTAGCGATGCCGTGTATGAAGTTGGGTGTTTTCTGTTTCATCTATGGATACGTTTCAGTGTGTTATTTCATTTTCTGTTAAGCACTTTGAATTGCCTATGTGTATCAAAATGTGCTGCATAAAAAAACTTACCTTTTCAATAGAACCGAGCCATTGTTGATATTAATGGTTTTACAGGTGGATTTTTTTCATTAGCTGATTAGGAACAATGGATCATTTAATCCAAACTTTGAGTGAATGACACTGTTACTTTGAGAATTGTTTAGTTTTAACAAAAGTTTCTCATTTTTACCCCAGGTGGCGTTGTACAGTATGCATGTGGCCTGCATGGCTTTTCATGCCAAAGTGAGTGACCCAGTCATTGGCGGGACCTACATGACACTACTGAACACCGTCACTAATCTTGGAGGAAACTGGCCGTCCACTGTGGCTCTGTGGATGGTGGATCCACTGACCTCTAAAGAGTGCCGGGGGGCAGTCGGCCAGAGCTGTGGCTCTCCAGAAGAGGCATGGGTAAGTGATTAGAGAGTGTGGAAAGAGGCGGTGTGCCTGTTCTTATCTAGAATGTATAAACTGAATATCCTTCTTTTGTCCCCATCTCCAGCTGTGCGTTAAGGAGGGCGGTGCTTGTGTTGTGACATTGGACGGCTACTATGTGGAGTCAGTTGTGTGTGTTGTGATCGGTTTAGTTTGGTGGCTTTGGTTAGGAAAGAAGCTGAGGTCGCTGCAGCAGCAGAGCCCTGCTGCATGGAGATGCAGAGTTGACCAGCGATGACACAGACTCATGTTGGTGTTGTGCAACTCTGCATATTCTGCTGCAAAAACAGCTACTATAAAGGGTGCACATACTGTAATACCATCCATCTGGTTTAGTCACTCCGGTCCGGCTCTAGCTGTTAGGTTCTCAGCCTCACACACTGTCACCTTGAAGTAAATACATCTGAGGACATGCACCACTGGTATCTTCTGGAGATCTTTACCCATGATACTGTTAAACTTTATGCCCATCTGAAAATCCAGGTACCTTAAACCCAGTGCTTTTTGACTCATATCTGAACCAGTTTTTAAAAATTATTATTTAACTGTTTTTACCCTCTAATGTTCTTTGTGCCTTGTGTAGCTTATGAAAGTCTCTGGACTATGACGGCATCCAGCAACATCCGTTTAAAGTCAATATTATTTGAGCTGTAGTTCAATATTGAAGTCAGGGAATATCAAGATAATTTGTTAAACTGATGAACCGTCACTATGTAAAAGTGACTTTGATAATATACTGTCATTTTTTAAGTTGATTAATCAGATAAGTTATTTCTTAAGCAAAAATGTCTAAAAATATCAAGATTTGATAGTTTCAGGGTTTTCTGTAATAGTAAACTCAGTATTTTGGTGGTTTTGACCGTTGGTGAGACAAAAGGAAATAATTATGGAGATTTTTCCAAATATTTTCTGATATTTTATACAGTGAACAATCAGATAATAGATAATAAATGTCAGATTTATTTCTAATGAAGGTAATTGGTGACTATAGCCTTACAGTTCTCCTCTGTTTGAATAATACTAGCTTGCTAATTACTACTATCTTGTTAATTACTTGACACTTGAAACTGGGTGAAGATGAGGTGTAGTATTTTCACTACAGCTTCACAGTGCTCCTGTTATCACCCAGATATGCTGGGGTGTTGTCACATGCCATCTGTGAGGAGAAGCAGCTTCACGTGCACTTATACCAACTACCACAAGGTATGGTGGGCTGTTATTTATTACCTTTAACTCAACTGTGGTATAATGGGTGTATCATCACACTTACCAAAGGACTGTATGATTGAGGACAAGGTTTCAGCATGGCCTCTGTTCAGGAATTGTGGTGAGGCCAAAAAAATCTTCAGTCCAGTATTTTATCCTATCATACCTTCTGTTTAATATCACACATGGTCTCCTTTAAATCAGAATTTAAAACATGTCTTTTAAAATTAGAGTTTGGCTCTATTGTTGTGGGCTCCTGTGGTCTGTCTGTATGCTGTCTGTGTTAGGTTTTTATTGCTATTGATTCTGAAGCACTTTGGTCAGTCTGTTGATTGTTGTAAAGTACTAATACAAATAAACGTTGATTTGATTTGAGTTGTTATTTCTGTTTCTGTCACCTTTGGCCATGTGGTACTACAAAGTCAAACAGGAACTGTTGCGATCTAAAGCTAACAGGGTGGATTTGTACTGACACCTTACTCCTGTTTGCTGTGTGCATGTGAGTAACGGAGTGGCTGTCTGGTGGAGGGATTTCACTTAGTACAAACTAGTGACTGAAGACAGTGAGTGGGCTGATCACAGGTGTGTGGGTACAGTCTCCACTCTCTGGGCTATTCAAGAGCATGTCTGAGCCACTGTCAGCATTCATTTTCATGTGTTTCCTCTGTGCAGGTACTGTATAGATGTGATTGTATATAGATGTGGTTTTATTCAGTATTCATTTTGCTGTGTGTTTCCTCTGTGCAGGCCCAGGTCTGCATCAGACGCTGCTGCCTTAAGGCTAGTTGCTTTTGCATGAAGGCTGAAGTGAGTGTTCCAGTTAGACGAGGGTGGTCCAGTAACCAGTGCTACTTGATGAGCCTGAACGCTGTGTTCTGAATGACTGAGAGGCAAGGCAAGCAACTGGCAGTGCAATGGATCTGTGCTTTCCTGCTTTTATTGTTATACTGAATGTGAGCTTGGGACCTTTCCGCCTTCTGCTTTAACCTGACTATTAAGCAGTTGCCACAACACATCATTTTACTGTGTTTAAAATGTTTTGATAGCTAAAATAAATCCAAGTTTTATAATAATTTGTGTCATCTTTTGCTCACTCTTCTCTGGTAGAGTCAGTCATGTGAACCTGCAGGTTCTGGTGGTTTCAACCACATGGGTGTTACAAAACCAGTTTAGGGCAAATTTATTAATTTGGGTAGCAACACTGTTTTTAATTTTTTTTCTACTTAACAGTTATGCTCTTCACAGTTAATGGAAACTGTTCATGCATACTATGATTCTATAGTGCTCTCTTATAAATGTACGATAAGTTTAACTTTACCAAAATATTTTCACAAATTAACCGAAAAGACTATTATTAGCATCTGGCTCTCTCTGATATTGGTTGATGATGAAACTTTAAAAGTCTCTTGGTCTCTTCTTTACTGGTTTGATTGGTTTTGCAAATACAGTTTTCTATGCTTATGTGTTGGCGATAGCCACAGCTTGCTGGCCCATTCTTGTGAACATGTTATAACAGGAATTCCTTAAGAGAACTTCAAATGTGGCACAGGTGATCACTTGAATTCAAGGATGAACTGATTAGATTTTGGTGGTCAAAGGTCATTGACCTCACATACAGTGCCTTGCAAAAGTATTCATACCCCTTGAATTTTTCCACATTACAACCACAAACGTAAATGTATTTTTTTGGGATTTTATGTGATAGACCAACACAAAGTATCGCATAATTTTGAAGTGGAAGGAAAATGATACATGGTGTTCAAGATTTTTTTACAAATAAAAATCTGAAAAGTGTGGTGTGCATATGTATTCAGCCCCCTTGAGTCAATACTTTGTCAAAGCACCTTTCGCTGCAATCACAGTCTTTTGGGGTATGTCTCTACCAGCTTTGCACATCTAGAGACTGCAATTTTTGCCCATTCTTCTTTGCAAAGTAGCTCCAGTTCAGTCAGATTAGATGGAGAGCGTCTGTGAACAGCAGTTTTCAAGTCTTGCCACAGATTCTCAATAGGATTTAGGTCTGGACTTTGACTGGGCCATTCTAACACATGAATATGCTTTGATCTAAACCATTTCATTGTAGCTCTGGCTGTATGTTTAGGGTTGTTGTCCTGCTGGAAGGTGAACCTCCGCCCCAGTCCCAAGTCTTTTCCAGCTTCTAACAGGTTTTCTTCCAGGATTGCCCTGTATTTAGCTCCGTCCATCTTTCCATCAACTCTGACCAGCTTCCCTGTCCCTGCTGAAAAAAGGCATCCCCACAGCACAACGCTGCCACCACCATGTTTCACGGTGGGGATGGTGTGTTCCAGTTGATGTGCAGTGTTAGGTTTCCGCCACACATAGTGTTTTGCATGTAGACGAAAAAGTTCAGTTTTGGTCTCATCTGACCAGAGCACCTTCTTCCACATGTTTGCTGTGTACCCTATATGGCTTGTGGCAAACTGCAAACAGGACTTCTTATTGCTTTTTTTCAACAACGGCTTTCTTCTTGCCAAAGCCAGATTTGTCGAGCGCACGACTAATAGTTGTCCTGTGGACAAATTGTCCCACCTGAGCTGTGGATCTCTGCAGCTCCTCCAGAGTTACCATGGGCCTCTTGGTTGCTCCTCTGATTAATGCTCTCCTTGTCCGGCCTGTCAGTTTAGGTGGACGGCCATGTCTTGGTAGGTTTGCAGTTGTGCCATACGCTTTCCATTTTCGGATGATGGATTGAACAGTACTCTGTGAGATGTTCAAAGCTTAGGATATGGTTTTATAATCTCATCCTGCTTTAAACTTCTCCACAACTTTATCCCTGATCTGTCTGGTGTGTTCCTTAGTCTTCATGATGCTGTTTGTTCACTAATGTTCTCTAACAAACCTGTGAGGCTTTCACAGAACAGCTGTATTTATACTGAGATTGAATTGCACACTGTTGGACTCTATTTACTAATTAGGTGAGTTTTGAAGGAAGTTGGTTTAACTGGATTTTATTTAGGGATATGAGAGTAAAGTTGCATGCAACCTACATATGCACGCTACACTTTTTAGATTTGTATTTGTAAAAAATCTTGAACACCATGTATCATTTTCTTTCCACTTCACAATTTTGCAATACTTTGTGTTGGTCTATCACATAATAATCCCAATAAAATACATTTACGTTTGTGGTTGTAATGTGACAAAATGTGGAAAAATTCAAGGGGTGTGAATACTTTTGCAAGGCACTACATCCCATTCTTGTGAACATGATTGCTCAGAAACACCTTGAGGGAAGTTCTTCAAATTGGGCACAAGTGTCCACTTGAACTGAGAAGATGTTGATCAAAAGTCAAGGCCAGTGACCTCATATCTGTCCCATTACTGTGAATTTGACTGGTTTGTAGAGGCATACAACCGCAAAGCAGTAATTTTAGGTTTTGCTTTAATTGCCATGTGTAACATAACATAAATGAAATAATACAGTGTATCTTTTATGTTTTCATTATATGGTTACTTCATGCTTTAATTTTGTTGGCTAATTACACGTTTTGTGAAACTGATGTGAATTATTGGTGTAATATTTACAAACCTTTAAGCCTCTGTTAATCATAGCCCAAAGGATCAAAACCAGATAGTGGTGCAGGTCTATGCATGTGTTGCGCATATTGTTTGCGTTTTTTCATTCAACATAACGTGAAGCGGAACAGCTTTCACATCTGGTCTGACACGTCAGCTGTAGGTGTCGGACACATTTAGATGTTGCACACACGGTACTTCCTGAGTCTTCTGTGTGGATGTTGACCAACATAGCCGGTTTTAGGAGAACGGTAGTCATTTCGTTGTGTTTCTTACCTTGGTTAAGATGCAACTAATTTAGTAACAAAATAAAATCGATTGGCTCTGGAATTCGGGCGTTTGTGTTCTACTGCCATAACCAGCAGATAGTTATATATGAATTCATTCATCGCGACGGCTTTTATAATTTCACTTTACTTTTTCATTTCATCGCATGTTCTTTGTATGATTATATTTTCCCCGATAAATTTTTTTACTAACGCAACACCTGGCGACTTAAGGTGACTACTGCTAATTTTAGTTAAGACACGGATTTATTTATTTCATAATTAACTGCTTCCTTTCACAATGTGGACATTACATATGTTTATGACGTGTTTCGTAGGCTGGTGTTGTTTTTTGTGTGATCTGTGTCTCCTTCACCTTTCACCTCAATAATGACTGATTAAAAAAAAAAGTTTCTTTACAAACTATCTGCATAGATGTCTGCCTGAAATTTTTTCTGTTGTGAGCAGTGAGCATTCCTTATTTACTTTGCATATTATAGGAGTCCTGGCCTATTTGCCAGTTGTTTGTGGGACAGTGGTGTAGTCAGTATGTCACTGCATATAGCCAACTGTATAGTCATCCTTTTGGTAAGAAGCCAAGGTTAGATGTATCAACTGAATATATGGGTTTGTGTTCAGATCTATCCATTTAATATTATATTTTATATTTGAACATTTAGGTTTTTGTTATAAACAGCCTGTACGTGACTTTTTTTTAATCTCAGTGGGATTCAAATGATTGAAAATATTCATAGTAACTTCATAGACTTGCAGTTTATTAGCAAGCTGTTCCAATAATCTTATCTCATCTGTTTCTGCAGATTTGCTGAGGGTGCAGCAGGTCTTATGCCCACTGCTCCAAAATGGAGCCCTCAGATTTGATCACGCACAAGAATGGGCGGCAGAGGAAGCTGGTGGGTGCTTCCCACCCACGTGAAAACATGAGGAACATGGACAGTGGAGAGACAAGTACCTCAGAGCCAGACATAGAAGAGGGGGCAGAAGGTCTTATCAAAGGGTCAGGCTCAGAGTCCAGGAGACCCAGAGCCCAGCCTGGGATTCGTGGCGAGTTGGGGAATGTTTTACTTCTTCTGTTTCTCTATGTGCTGCAAGGTATCCCTCTGGGACTGGCTGGAAGCATTCCCCTGATCTTACGGAGTAAGGGTGTCAGCTACAAACACCAAGCTTTCTTCAGCTTTGTCTTTTGGCCATTTAGTCTCAAGCTTCTTTGGGCACCGCTGGTGGATGCTCTCTACTTCAGCAGGTTTGGTAGAAGGTAAGATGGTCACATATATATGTAGTGTATGTTAATGTTTTTCCTGCCGTTTCCTGATCATTTCTATGCAATCCCCCATCTTGCACCTCTTTCTGCAGGAAGTCCTGGCTGGTGCCAACACAGTACCTGCTGGGCCTCTTCATGCTCTACCTTTCTGTACGTGTCGATTCACTGCTGCAGAGCGAGGGAGGAGCGAATGTGGTAACACTTACTGCACTCTTCTTCATGCTCACCTTCCTGGCAGCCACACAGGTAGGCAATCATAAACACATTCAGATGAGTTGTAAATACATTTGAGTAGATTTCCTTCCTCCCCTCACAATGTCTCTGCCTTTCCTGACTTTAAGGATATAGCTGTGGATGGCTGGGCCCTCACCATGTTATCCAGAGAGAATGTGGGTTATGCTTCTACATGTAATTCTGTAGGCCAAACAGCTGGCTACTTCCTGGGAAATGTACTCTTTTTGGCTCTGGAGTCTGCTGACTTCTGCAACAAATACCTCAGAATAGAGCCCAAAGCCACAGGCATCGTTACGTTATCAGGTATGTGTCAAATCATTTGTCATATCATGGTTTATAACAGAGAACTGATTTGGGCAATCAGCTGAGTAAAGTGTATTCTCTGATGCTTCCTGTTTGTCTGCTGTAGATTTCTTGTGTTTTTGGGGAATGGTGTTCCTGTTCTCCACAACACTGGTAGCCATCTTTAAAAGAGAAAATGAGCCCGGCAAAGGAAAGAGGAAAGTCCAGGAGGAGACGCAGGGTGTTATGGAAACCTACAAGTTGCTGTTTTCTATTGTCATGATGCCCACAGTCTTCACCTTTTGTGCCCTGCTTCTCACTGCTAAAGTACTTGACCATTGCTTGATAAATATTTGGTTTACCTTCAAAATACAGTTTTTAAGGTGATGCATGTGTGAATTTAATTTTGTTGTACATCTTTTCCACGTGCCTCAGATTGGTTTCTCTGCAGTAGATGCAGTCACAGGTCTGAAATTGGTGGAGGCTGGAGTTCCCAAGGAACAGCTGGCATTGCTGGCAGTGCCCATGGTGCCTCTGCAGATCCTTCTACCACTGGTCATCAGTAAATACACAGCAGGGCCCAGACCTCTGGACATCTTCTACAAGGCCTTCCCTTTTAGGTTATACCACACATAAATACACACAGACCCTTGAACACATATTCAATAAACTAAAAGCTAACAGTGTTGTTGTGTGGTAGGTTGCTTATAGGGCTGGAGTTTGCTCTGCTGGTGTGGTGGACCCCGAGTGTAAAACAAGAAGGAGGCTTCCCTGTTTACTACTATGTCATAGTGCTGCTTAGCTACGCATTGCATCAGGTTTGGTGTTTCACTGTTATTCCCTTCTTGTGTTATTCTCCTCATCTTTTTTCCTATTTTTTATTCTGTTATATTTTTTTTATAATAATAATAAATTACTTTTGTTGGCACCTTTCGAACACCCAATGACACCTTACAGAACAAACAACAATAAAAAAATTAAAACACAGCAATACAAAGAGCAAGGTTAAAATCAGAAAGAATTGAACAAATAGAATGTCATGACAATGATTGTGTTATGTTGAATATACTAATTGAAACAAATGTGTTTTGAACTGTGATTTGAATTGTATGATAAAGTCCAACTGGTGAAGATGTAGTGGCAGTGAATTCCAGAGTCTTGGTACAGAGCAGATGAAGGCACCCATGGTACTCAGTCTAAAACCAGGGACAGCCAGAAGAGCAGCCATGGAGGATCTTAAGGAGGGAGGAGGAATGTAGGGATGGAGAAGGTCAGAGAGCCACAGGGGAACCAAATTATGAGGGGCTTTGACGAATGATGGAGAATCTTATAATGAGTCTATTGATATGCATGGAGCCAGTGAAAGTGGATGATGGTTGGTGTGACATGGTTTGTTGACTTGGTGTGAGTAATGATTCTTGCAGCAAACTTTTACTTTGGAGGAAATGGAAACTGGACAGACATCAATAGAGATAGTGAAGGGGTGTATTTGGGAAAGTGCTGTTTTAGTATCAATGAGGATGATTTCACTTTTATTACGATTCAGTTTGAGAAAGTAGCTAGACATCCAGATGTTAATGGACTGAAGACAACTGTTGAGAGCAGAGTAGGGAAGAGGAGTTGTACTTTGTCATAACTGTAAAGTTGGGTGTCATCAGCATAGCAATGAAAATCTATTCCATAGTATCAGAAAATATTTCCAAGGGGAAGGAGATAGATAATGAATAAAACTGGACCCAGAATTGACCCATGAAGAACACCCTGGGTAACTGAGGCTATTTCTGACCTGATATTCTTACCTTGAACAAACTGCTTTCTATTAGTCATATAGGATGTAAACCAAAGAAGTGCTGTGTTTCTGACCTCAAACCCAGTGAGGCCATTCCAATAATAGTGAATGTGAGATGGACTTGGACCTCAAATGCATTCATTGATCCACTGATGAAGGCTAAAAAGCGGATAAAGTTGTAGAAGGCAGGGGACCTAGGATGTTCTGCCCTGGAGAGTCCCCTTGAAGTGATGGAGGAAGGATCAGTTGCTGATGAATGCTGTGGTTTTTGGAGCTGAAGAATTCCAAAAATGCTGTACATAGTGAAGTAGAGATGGGGTGAGAGGTGGCTTCTGTGGGCCTAAGCAATTTTTTACAATGGAAAATAAATAATGGGTGTTACCTCTATCAGAATGAAAGATGTTGGCATAGTAAGAGGATTTAGCAGCATTGAGCCAGACTTAAAAGAAGACAGGTGGTCAATATACATTTACTGGTGTATGGCAAGTCCAGTTTTCTTGGATAATCACTCAAGTCGTTGACCCGGCGCCTTTAGCTGGTAAAGCTCAGGGTTGTACCAAGCAGAAGACTGTACAAATATAACAGAGCTTTCAGTGGAGCCAGTGTGTCCAGTGATAAATGGATATGGT